CGCAAGGAGAAGGAAGTGAAGCAGGCCTCCATTAGGAGCATAACTAGGGACAGGAAAACAAGCCACTGGGTCCCCATGTCCAGGGGAGTTTATCCTGGGAAAAGGAGAGCCAGACTCCACTGCGCATTCACGCCCACTGACCATCTTCCTGAATGCTCCGAGAATTGCGCTGATAAGATTAGGGCTGGCAAAAAGTCCGGGTTTGGAGATTTTGAAAATCATAAGCAAATAAGTTTGATGTTAATTTTTGTTATAGAACAGGGTGTTAAAAGGGTGGTGAGGCTAGAAAGGCTAGCAGTGGACTGGGAGTGCCGTGATTCCTTTGGGAGCAGCCTGCTGCAGAAGCCTCCTACATAGATCTGAGCGTCCCTGCCCTGTCCATCAAGCACTGGAGAGCGGGGGTTCATCCCTGGGATCACCTGGTGGAAAATGTTTAACTCCTAGTGAATGAGTCCCCCCAGCCACCATTTGGCCTAGAGCATACTTGGTTGGATTGAGGCTCTTAGAGTGAATCTGATGTTCAGGGTGGAGACCCTCTGCTGCAGACAAGAGAGGCACGGCTCCTGCCTGAGTTGCAGGACACGAAGTAGCTTAGTCTCACTTCCACCTTGCTATGCCGTGGATCAGCAGCGTCTTCTAGGGCTTGCGGGGAGTGCAGAATCTCTGACCTTATCCCAAACCTTTGGAACCCAAATCTGTAGTTCAGCCAGATACCTACGTGCTTTATATAACTATTAGAACTTGAAGGGTGACTTCCCAATACTCGTGTGACCAGGAAAAGGGGGTAGGGAGGTGGGAAAGGATCAGAAGACCTCACATCCAGGCCCGGAGTTCCAGCTGACACCTAGCAAAGGAGAACCTGACCCCGGATTGACTCCATGTTCTCAGGCTAGCTTTGGGTAGTGCTGCTTAAGGACTGGGTGTGATCTGAAAACAGCCAGGCAAGCTCTCCGGCAGTGTTTGCTGTTGAGACGCCCGATGTGGGAGGTTGTAGGCCCACAGGTCACAAGTGGTTAGCAGAGGGATGGGTACAGCAGTGGAATCCTGGGTCTGGCTGAAGGCTCTGCAGTTGCACAGCTATGGTGGCTGGGAATTCCAAGAGGAAGTGACTAGGTTGGAAGATGGGAAGGGGGCTGAGGAGAGTGGGGCAGCTTGAGCAGCAAGCCTTGGCCAGATTGAGTGGGACCGAAGAGACATGGAAAAGTCTGCAGTTGTTTGACCTTGTTTTGGGTTTATTTTATGTGTATGAGTGTTCTGCTTGCACATCCGTGCCTGGTGCCCTCAGAGGCAGAAGAAGGGATTGGATCCCCATAGAGCTGGAGTCATGGATGGTTTTCAAACCACACAAGTCCCAGGAATCGGACCTGAGTCGTCTGCAAGAACAAATGCTAACCTCCGAGCCCTCTCTCCAGCCCTCCTGGGACTTGTTTTAAAAAGAGAGGTGCGTGTAGGAACCCTGATTTCCTGGTCAGGTGGAAAGAACTGAAGCTCTGAAAATTTTGTCAGCCTATCTTGAGATCTGCCATGTATAGGACAATCAAAGGAAACCAGGCCGGTCAGTTTCCAAAGCAGTAGAGGAAAAAGTTGTGTGGAAGAGGAGTCAATTCCTTCCTGTGGAGGAGTCTGCAGACCTTGTTAGTAGGTTTGAAGCAGGCTGACTGGAGCCATGTTAGAAAAAAGAATGTGATGTTTACTGTTTTTCCTACCCTCGTGAGCTAGCCTTAGGGATGCCCTGTGTCCTGTGCCTGCATGGGTCTGCGGACTGGTGATACCTTATGAAGGCATCCTCTGGAGTGAGAGATCTTCCCGGGTCTGTGGGAAGTGTAACATCAGGTGTAGCTGCGTATTCCTTAGAAGCTTTCTTGCAGAAGAAATACCTAACCTGGGCCATAATATTTTTTGGCCACATTTTGTACTTAGTTTGTGTGCATGTGTATCTGTGTGTGCCGGTGTGTGCCTGTGTGTGCCTGTGTGTATCTGTGTGTGCCTGTGTGTGTCTGTGTGTGCCTGTGTGTATCTGTGTGTGCCTGTGTGTCTGTGTGTGCCTGTGTGTGCGCCTGTGTGTCTCTGTGTGTGCCTGTGTGTATCTGTGTGTGCCTGTGTGCCTGTGTGTGTCTGTGTGTGCCTGTGTGTGCCTGTGTGTCTCTGTGTGTGCCTGTGTGTATCTGTGTGTGCCTGTGTGTGTGCCTGTGTATCTGTGTGCGCCTGTGTGTGCCTGTGTGTATCTGTGTGTGCCTGNGAAGCTTTCTTGCAGAAGAAATACCTAACCTGGGCCATAATATTTTTTGGCCACATTTTGTACTTAGTTTGTGTGCATGTGTATCTGTGTGTGCCTGTGTGTGCCGGTGTGTCTCTGTGTGTGCCTGTGTGTATCTGTGTGTGCCTGTGTGTATCTGTGTGTGCCTGTGTGTGTGCCTGTGTGTGTGCCTGTGTATCTGTGTGCGCCTGTGTGTGCCTGTGTGTATCTGTGTGTGCCTGTGTGTATCTGTGTGTGCCTGTGTGTACCTGTGTGTGCCTGTGTGTATCTGTGTGCCCTGTGTGTATCTGTGTGTGCCTGTGTGTGCCCTGTGTGTATCTGTGTGTGCCTGTGTGTGGAGGCCAATGATCAGTATTGAATGTATTCCTCAATTGCTGTTTACCTTCTATTTTAGAGACAGACTTGCCATATAGTCCTGATTGGCTTGGAATTCATTATGTAGCCCAGGCTGGCCTCGAATGCAGAGACCTTTTTGTCCCTTGTCACCATGACCTGACCGTGTCATTAAAAAAATACATACATACATACATACATACATACATACATACATACAGATCTTTATTTTATGTATATGGGTGTTTTGCTTGCATGTATTCATGTGCATCAGTGTGGAGGCTGGAAGTGGGTGTTGGGTCCCCTGGAATTAGGATTACAAGGACAGTCAGTGCTTTTAGCCATTGGCCCTCTCTCCAGCCTAAACACCTGTTTTCTGAGTCAGTCTTCCATCGAGTTTGCAGATTCAGCCAGCCTGGTTGTCCAGCAAGCCTTGGGATCCTTCTGTCTCCAGCTCTCTCGTGCGGATTACAACACACACTGTGCTGGGTTTTCAGTGGCTGCTGGCGCTCAAACCTCAGGTCCTCGTGCTTGTGCAGCGAGCACTTCATTAGCTGCAGCCACCTCCGCGGCCGCTTAATTAATTTACTTACTATTTTTTTGTCATGCTGGGGATCAGACCTCAAGTATGTTAGACAATTAAGTGCGGACCAAGTTGTGCCCCCAGCCCTAGACTTTATCCTGTAACTGGAATTAGTCTTGGGTCGAGGTCAGGCTTGTGAAGTTTCTGGAAGGTTTAGCTGAATGTCTCATCAAAGAGTGACAGTGTATCTTCTCTGAGGAGACAGTATGTAGTTTTTAGCACATCCTCAAGAACATTCATGGCTACCCCAGATTTTAGAAGCAAGATTTACTTGAGCCATCATATGTGAGATCCATAAGCCATGGACGGCTATTTAAATTAAAATTAAATACAGTAATGGTCACAATAGCTATTTTCTAATTAGCTGCAAGTGGCTAATGGCTCTTGTTGGACAGTGCAGATAAAGAATGTTCTTTGCTGGAAGTGGTGGTTCATACCTGTAATCCTAGCACTTAGGAAATGAAGACAGAGTGCAGTCATGACTTGGAGTCTGGCTTAACTCCTTATGCAGTCCAGCCTCTTGCATGATGAGTTTCAGGCCAGTCTCAGTCTACACTAATACCCTGTCTCTAAAAGTTACTGCTATAGGAGATCTATTGGGCAGAGCTATGAGCTGCACACAGGGTTCCCTGTGTGGTCCCCAGATTCATCCTTACCATAGCCTCTTTCAGGTTGGGGAAATAGCCATCAGAGTTGGGGATTATGGCTCATAGCTGTGACATAGAAGCGAACAATGCTCCCCTGGGTTCTAACCGGCTACACAACCCGTTCTTGAAGGCATAACTATGTATTTCTTTAGAACAAGGTGTGAGTAAGATGTGATTCCCCACGGGGACCCTCCCACCCACAGTCCTGATCAAAGCCTCTGTGAACCTTGTTCATGTTAACGTCTGGTCCTGCGTGTACTTGTTCACAAGCCTGGCCCAGAGTCAGCCCTCTGCTTTAGGCTGTCTCCTGGAGAAGGCAGTGTGCTGGTAGGTGGGCTGACTATATTGGAACTCAAATGTCTAGACTCCATTTCTTTGCCTGTGGGAGAACACTGGAGTGCTCGGGAAGAGAGGATGTCAGAGGGCGAGACCCCCTTATCTCTCTGCATTCCTGTGGTCCAGCTGGATTGCTGCCGGCATCTTCCCTGTGATCTGTGTGGGTCCAAGACGGCTGCCACTCCTGAACTATGTACACTTTGGAGATCTTGTCTACCACTTGAATAAGAAGTTGGCAGACTGAGTTTCTACTAATTACTGAGGCAGTGGTGGGACATGGGGGACCGGGAAAGCAGCTCCGTGTGGAATCCTCAGTTGCCTTTCGGGTGAACTCAGGTCTGGGGGCTGCTTGATTGCCTTAAGTAATGCAGAAGGTGGGCTGGGTTCTCAGAGGCCTCTGTTCTGTTCGAACTGCTGAGCTGACTTGTGGGAGTTCCAGCACTGGGGTGCCCTGCGAGTTAGTAGACAGGTTCCATGCTTCCCCCTGCTGTTAGTGCAGCGGCTCCAGGGTCTCAGAATAGGATGGGGATCTCACTGGCAGTCCTAAGGGCATTGGTGAGACTGTGGGTGTCTTTATACCACACTACCCCTCTTCATTATCAGGGGAAGCCTCAAGAGGGGACGCGAAAAAGCTGGGTCAGAAACAAGTGGCCAGGTACTGGACTCTAGTGTTCCGCGTCTGAATCATTCATGTCGCGGAGACAGTGGCTGTTCTCACCTGTCTTTATGCTTTTATTGACCTGCCCCTTACACAGGTCACCCGCTTCCCCCAAAGATGCCAGGAATTATTCTGGCACTCTAGAAGAGAGGGAGGACAGGCTTTTGCTTGAGGCCTGGGTGGGGTGAGGGGTTCAGAGGACAGGATAAAGAACAAGGACGATGTATACCTTCTGGAATGCTTCCTGAGTCCCAAGACCTACTATGTCTTTTCCTGGAGAAGTACAGCTCCTCTCTGGTGCTGCCTCAGTTTCCAAAATCAAGTGGTATGCTTTAACCTGTAGCGAGCCCTATCCAGCAAAACTTTCCCAGGATTGGCATGGGCCAGACCAGGCACTGAACGTGAGCCTGGAGTAGAGCAGTAAAGGTGATAACTTTGTCCTTCATGAGACCAAGGAAACGTTTTTTTACCAGGATGCTATTGTGAAGCTGGAAGGGAGGAATGCCCTGAGGACAGAGTCTAGCCTTCCACAAGCAGACCAGCTGGGAAGGGAAGGAACAGGCCTTGAGAGTTTGGAGGTAGTGGTTCGTGAAGGATTAAGGAGGGCTGACTCTCCTGATTTCTGTGCCTGGAGTGCTTGAAGCTGATGGCAGAGCTGTGGAAAGATGTAGGCAGGCTGCCGGGCATACCTGAGGGTGTGCACAGATCCTGAGGGAGCTGAAGTGTGTGCTAGTTTCTCTTGGAAGTCTTCCTCCAGGCTGCCCTGGGTTTCTGAGGTAATGCCATAGAGTCTCCTGTTATTTGAGTGGGTCCTGGGACATTTGGTGGTCCTAAAGACACTTGACTTTGACCCCAATGAAATAGTGCAACAGCTTCCCCTAAGCATCTGGGACAGTGGTTCTCAACTTGTGGGTGTAGCTCCCTAGGGGGTTGCATATTAGATATTTACATTATGATTCATCACAGTAGCAAAACTAGTTATAAAGTAGCAATGAAATCATTTTTGGGGGGTCACCACAATAGGAAGATCTGTGTTGTCGCATTAGGAGGGGTGAGAAGCACTGGGAGGAGGACGTGCGGGTACAGGCATTGTGGCACTGTGTGTCGTACTCAGTATACACGTCTTATTTGTCAGAGAGGAAGTGAGGGGTAGGCGCTGGGGCCGCCTCTTTGTCCATCGGGACAGTGGTGGTGCCTTCGTTGCATCTTGTTCTGCTGTACCTCCAAGGAGGGGCATTTTTTTTTCTTTTGCTCCTCCTCTGCTTCCTCCTCCTGGTGATTGCCATTGACACAGACTTCCGCTGCCAAAGCTAATTGTGAGGTCTGATCAGTGAATGAAGGCAAAGGCAGTTCCCATGACAACCTCAAAGAGTTTCAAATATAGAGGATGATGTATGTGTGATGGGCTGCAATTACTTGGGTGGAAACTGATGTGTGGACACCGGGAAACATAGGCTCCGAGGGTGGAGGGGGTGCTAGGTTTCTTTGACAGGATCCTTTGTGTGATGGAGAGGGAAGGGGGTCACAGGTCTCACCTCACAGTCAATTCCTAGTGCCTTCAGTATTGGGTGCTCTGGGGAGGCAGGACATGTATATGTACGCAGAGACAAACCGCAGGTGGTGCTGTGGACTGGCAACAAGCTGAGGTACCCAGAGAAGGCATCCCGGAGGATGTGGGCTTCAACTGGACAAGGACGGAAAAGCCCTGTGCAGAAGTACCGTGTGCAGGACAAGGCAAGGAAGAGAAGAGACCTGTCTCTAGTCCCCTGTCACCTCTGGAGGAGGTAGATGGACTTGAGCGTTGCAGGACTATCCGTAGCAGCTCTGGAGTGTGCCACTGCAAGTGACACGACAGGAAGAGCCTTGCTGGGTCGCTGTAGCTGTTTGATCTTGGGCAAGGTGTGTAGAACGCTATTGTTTCCCATCCGTAGAGTGGGTATGGAAGACTCCTGGAATGTTGGTGATTTGAGATTTAAATAAGATGCTTTGTGCTGTGTCCCCCTTTGTGGGGCGTCACGAGGCTTGGTGCGCGGTTCATCTGCAGTCTTCCTTCCCCATGGTGTCTAGGCATGCCTGAGTTCCTGTTCGTCTGTGTGCAGTGTGGTTTGTGGATAGCCATGGTCTTGAGATTTTCAGTGTTTCCAGCAAGTGAGCCCATTTACCTCTGTGGCCCCACTCCTGCAGTCAGAACGGAGGAAACTGGGAGACCCCATGGAAGACGGGGGACGGATCGTTGTCCTTATGCAGAGGAATCCCACGTGCCTCTGAGTTGGTCACAGTGAGACCCATATGGAGAAAGAGGGGCATATAGAGATGAGAACGCTGTCAGGTGGGAACCGAACTGTCCTGGCATCATGTACCTCTCAAGAAGTAAGGTAGCCAGAGTGGGATGAGAAAGGGAGCGAGCAGACTGCCTTGAAGGCCACAGGCTCCCGTGGTTTAGCTAAGGGCTGCTGGAGGGCAGGGTGGGTGTCTGAAGTTGGAGGAGCACAGAGTTAGCCCAAGGAGATGGGGTAAACTCAGCTCCAGAGTTCCCATAAACTATGAGAAAGAGGCCTGCTGGTCCTTTCCAGGAGAGTGGATGCCACCCCGCCCCTCCCCCGCTCCCCAGGCTTTAGGGACCTCACACCATCTCAGTGCCCAGCCTCCCCGCTACTCCACACTCCCGAGGTAGAACGCAGCTCAGCACATTCCAGTTCTGTGTAGAGCCTAGGAAAAGCGGGGAAGATGGCCCCACCCACGTGGGGAACGACAGTAAATAAAATAACTGCTCCGATGTGCTGGCTCCAGAAGAGGCGGTGTGCTGTTCTCCAGGCCAGGGAGGACCTGGCAGAGGGGAGGCACTGTTTGGATTCAGCCTTGCAGTGCTTTAGCGTGCGGGGGAGGGGTCAGTCAGGAAGCAGCATAGAGAAGAGTGAAAACATTAGTGTTCTCAGATCTCTTTGACAGGAAGTGGTCACTTTAAGTGACCCAGTTGTCTATTTCCCTAGGCTTGACAGAAAGGGGGCTACAGAGGACAGGAAGGGTCTGGGTTTGAATTCCAGCCCACCAAGTTTGAAGGGCAAATTGTTCAGCATCCTAAGAGTCTTCCTTCTGCACAAGGCTGTGTGTAGAGAGGGTAAAATGAGATGATACTACAGGGTGGTTGGCCCGGGGCCTGTGCGTAGCAGGGGGCTGATCACTGTGGCAGCCGGAGTAGTAGCTGTATTAATTGATACTCTCGGAGTTGTGTTTGTCTCTGTGGGGTGCATGGGTATGTAACACAGGGTTTAGGGAACCAGGAGAAAGGATTCATTTATGCTGGTCAGTAATGTGAGTTAAAAGACACAAACACAGCCCGGCGGTGGTGGGCCTTTAATCCCAGCACTTGGGAGGCAGAGGCAGGTGGATTCGAACCAGGCAGTTCCAGGCCAGCCTGGGCTACGAAGCAAGTTCCAGGATAGCCAGGGCTGTTGTGTTACACAGAGAAACTGTGTAACAAAAACAAAACCAAACCACAAAAGACACACTCAGTTTGTCACCTGAAGTCATGATTTAGGACATGGTCCCTTACCTTATCTTGTCATCTGCCCGCCTTCCTGCTCTGAGAAGGACCTAGTAAGACTGCCCTTTGTCCCACAGGGGAAGCAAGTGTGCCCCCCCCCCCCAAGCCGCCTCACCAGAGGCAGGCTTGCCCTCCTCCTAAGGCAGCTCTTCTGGTTCTGAGTACCCCCTGGGGACCCTGGGGGAGCACAATTATGCATTTGTGGTGGAGTGGGTAATAGAGCGAGTCACTGGAGCAGGGGCGGGGCGCTCATCTGTGAGTCACTTCTCTCAGGCCTCAGCTTATTCATCTGTGAGAATGAGAATGAGAAAGCACCCTGAGCTCTGGCAGAAACGTAACGTGCTGCCAGGCAGCAACACCTACCTGGTGTCGGTCAGGCCTGAGCCATCTCAGGCCTCACAGCTGTATGAAATGGCTGCTGGTTCCATTCTGCCAATGAGCAAAGAGAGGCTAAGAGTGGTAAGTTACCACGGGCTGGGGACGGGATATGTGGGTACTAAAGTGTATGTGAGTGAGGTCAGGTGCCTGGGGTATCTGGGAATTACTACAGGAATGTGGATTGCTAGGACTTTGCTATCCCCCTCAACCTTTTAGTCTCCTGGCCCTTGCACTTTTGGTATGCTTGATTGGAGTTAGGGTACTAGACTGGAATTCTTGGGGTCTGGGAGCCCGGGGAGGTTTCGGAAGGGGCACCTGGTGAAGCCTCTCCAGGAGAGACTACCGTATGAGGCATGTTTCAGCAGCGGTCTGGAGTGATCTTAGGGTAGTAAAGTGGGTGCCAGGGAGGGCACAGCTGACTTGTGGGAGCATAGGAAGTATGGGCTATAGCCCATTTTCCCGAGTGGGGTGCAAGAGGGCAGGGCAGTAGAGCTCAGTAGGGTGGTATGGTCTTCAGGGAGGACAGACCTGGCAGGGAGTTTGAGCTCCGCTGAGTTCTAGCGCTGTCACCTTTGGTAAGTTACTCCATGCCTTTGCAGTCTGCAGAGCGGGTGCGTGCGTGTGCGTGCGTGCGTGTGTGTGTGTGTGAGAGAGAGAGACACAGACAGACAGACAGACAGACAGACAGAGACAGACAGAGAGACAGAGAGAAGCGCTGCCCTGGATTCTCCCTGGAGGACAAGCTCTTACTTTGATCTTGGCCGGCTGGAGAGTGGCCGGTTTGGAGTACCACCTACTCCTCACCCCTACGTTGCACGTTCCACTGTACTCCAGGTGCACCCACTGGAGGTGCAGGGAAGGCCTTGTGCACATCGCCTGGCGGGGAATGCCGCGGGATCCCCGGCCTGCCTGGGAAGCAGCCCTTGTGGCTATGGCTTCCACGACCAAGGCCCCCGCCTGGCTGCTGGGCAGGTCCTTAGCGGGGAGGGCCGGGCGCGGGATTGGCTGGCGTGTGCGCCGCCCCCTCGCACACCAGCCTGGCGGGGCGGGAGCAGCCGGCAGCTGGCCGCCGCCTCTGCAGTGCCTCCCTCGGTGCGCTCCCTCGGCGGGGATAATGGGAGGCCCGGCGGCGGCCGATGCAGTAGAGGAGGCCGGCCGAGGTAGCGCGCAGGGCCTGGAGGGGAGGGGAGGCTGCGTGCAGGCCGGGAGCGGGGCCGGGATCTTGAGAGGCCCGAGAGCCGAGCAGGAAAACAAAACACTGGAAGGCGCAGGGGCCCTTCCGCGCTCGGGAGGCAGCTGGAGCAGGAAGATGGTCCCGTCCAGCCTTTCTTCCCCCGGCCCCTTCTCCTCCAGTGCGCTGGGGCCTGTGCAGGACTGCTTTGCCGCTTGCCTGCTACCAGTCTACCTCACCAGTGTCTTTGGCTTCTTTTGCAGGTGGAAATAAAGGCTGGTGAAGGAGCAGGGCCTTGGGCACAAGGGGCGACTGTCAAGGTACCCTGCGTGCTTGCGTGTGTGCGTGCGCGCGCGCGCGCGTGTCTATGTGTGTGTACACACATGTGTGTACATGGGCGCGCGTGGAGGGGGTGAAGTGTTTGGATTGGATATAAAGGGTCTCCTCTGGCGATCCCTTAATCTCCGTGTGTGTGTGTGTGTGTGTGTGTGTGTGTGTGTGTGTAGAAGCAGCTGAGGGGGAGGGGCGGCGGGAGTGTGGGCGGCCAATGAATTCTCAGGCCTGTGTGGGTTTTGTTTGGATTCTTTTTGCTTTCTCAGCTGGATGGTTTGGGTGCAGTTGGGGTTTGGTTGTTTAACTCTGTGTGTGTGTGTGTGTGTGTGTGTGTGTGTGTGTGTGTTAAAGACATGCAACCTACTCTCCACCCCTGCCTCTGGAAATCTCTGGAGAATGGCCCTGGCACTGTTGGTTTGCATCCAATCTGCAGAAATCCCCGGGGTGTGTGCGTCGCAGGGAGGGAGGGGGTGAAAGACAGTAAGGGGGAGGGAGAATTGCACTCCTGAGTCTGAGCTGATAGGGTGTCATTAGTCATGCTGCTGTCACCATGGAGATGGCTGGAAAGAGGAGAGGAGGTGGTGGGGGTGAGGATATTTTGGGTAGGGTGGGGGCTGATGCAACATCATGGCTGGGAAGCCAGCGGGTGTCTGCTGTTATTCTGTGCCACTTGGTGTCTGGGAGACTGGGAAGGCAGTGTTCCCAGGTGTAGGGGAAGCAGAGAAAGGGGCTCTGACCCATTCCAGGTGGGTTTTCAGAGGGTGGAGCGGTGCATTTGGTAGGGGGAATGGAGAGTCTGGGGAGAATCTGACCACTAAGAAGCCATGACTAATCCTTCTAGGCTGGCAAGGACCAGATCAGTAGAGTTCCTTCAGTTTCTCCCGCTTTCCAGGGCTGGGGGCCCCCTGTCTTGAGTTTGTTATTACTCAGTAGTGACCTCTGGCCTGGGAAGTGGGGGACTGGGACAGGAAAACAGTGTGGCTGTCTCTTGAGCAGAGACCAGGAGTGAGTGTGGGAAAGGTGGGCAGACAGACCCAGTGGGGCTCCCCCTTGCATAGAGGAAACCCGGAGCCTGGTTGCTTAGGTAGCAGGTGGGCGAGCTGTGAGTGTCCCAGCATGCTCTCAGTCTTTCCTGCAGAGCTGCCTCCTGCTTCCTGGGAAAGCTGTGGGAAGCTTTGAGGAGGTGCTGGAAATGGCACTCTGCCACCTCACTGTCTGGGTGGTGACGCTTGACAGGGTGGGGCTCTGCTTCTTCCTGTGTGGGTTGGGGGTTCCTAGGCTAGTTTACAAGGTGGATCTGAAGCCTGTTATTCCCTGGCCTCTTCCCAAGGAACTGCTTAGGGGAAGGACATGGATTTTGCTTCAGAAACAGTTTGTTGGGGAGAAGAGCCAGGTGACCTCAGCTCTCTGAGGGGGCTGGCATGCCTTGGTGAAGTTGGGGGTTGTTGGTAGTCACCTGGGAGGGACTGCGGAGACCCGCGGTACTGATACTGTTTGTGCACGGGCTTCCGGGAGAGCTGTGAGCTCACGTTGGCTCACTTTTGCTCCTGCTGTCTTTTCTTGGGAGCCAGAACCCACAGCTTCCCACCTCCGCTTCCCTTGGCCACCCGCTGCTGACTGGGGGAGTTGTCACTGGGTACTCTGTCTCAAAAGTGTGCACACTGGGAATGTTAAGATCATGAGGCGAACTCTTCTGTCCCCCAACTCCAATGAAAGCAGGACAAAGGATGGAGGCAGATGGGATCAGGGAGGGGTAGCGCTCTCCTCCGTACCTGCCCCCTGCCTGCCTGCCTGCCTGCCTGCTGTGGTGTTGGCTCTCCTGCAGACCTGCTTCCTTGCACTCTGCTAGGGTGCTCCCTCCTTCTACCACCTGTTGTGCTGCCCTGGATCTGGTGAAGATCTTTTGGAGGCTTCCAGCCTAGTACCCCAGCTGCAGTGTTAGGAAAATCAAGGGCTTCCCCTTCCCTGGGCACAAGAGCTCCATTCCTCCTGCTCCGAGCTTGTATCTGTGCTTGTTTGTGCCGAGTTGCCTGCCTGTGAACCATGGCTTCCTTCCAGCGTTGATGCCACTAGAATCAGGTCTGAGCCCCTGTTTTGTCCCTATTTTTTCTACACATTGGATTTTCTTAGGTGGCCTGTTGGGGGTGAGAGAGTTTTGCCCAATATGTTATCAGGTCATGGTAGAAGAGCTCCTCCTATGGTCAGGATAAAGGGAGTGTGTGTGCATGTGTGTATGTGTACAAGTTCCCACAGGTCGGGCACGGGAGGGGCAAGCCCCAAGGGTGAATAGTGTCTAGCAGCCAGAAGAAATAATGCATGTCTCGTTGTATGCTAAGTGCTGCCAGGAATATCCTGATGCGTGGGTGTGCACAGTGCCTGGCACGGCCACAAAGCTGCGTTTGATGAATGCAAGTTGTTGGTTTACTGTATATTACGCTTTATGTCATTTACCCGTGATATCCCAGGGAATATGTCATAGCATAGTCTCCTGTTGCTGCCTTCTCACCCCAGCAGCCTGGACAGAAGAGAGTGGCCAGTGCCGAGAGTCCCAGGCTGCCCTGTGTTGGGGCTCCCACGCTCTGCCTCATGGGAGCACTCCACTGGATAAGGATGTCTGGAAACTATTTTGGTACTGGGCCCAGGATCTCTGCCTTCTGCCTTTCTTTTGACTATTTCAGAAATACCCTGTTAAGGATCTGCTTCTTGACTCTATGCATACTCTTGATCACCCCTGTCTGTTCTTTTCTGCCTGCGCCTCAGCTCTTTGGAAGGTCAGGGAATCCCCTTCTCTGAGGTCACTTACAGGCAGCAGTGAGGTTGAAAACAGGTGGACCTGTCATGCTGGAGCAGGAAAGGAACCAGCAAAGAGGATGGCAGGTTTGAGTTGGAATGGAGAGATTACTTCCCATGCTTGGAGGAGCCAGCGTTAACCACAGAGCTCAGTTCTGCCTCTTTGGAGACCCCTGTCCATCACAATGCAGGAACCTGGGACTGCATTCTGAGACCACCATGATGGCCTGTTGTCCTTTTGCTGGGCTTGTGAGGAGCGGGGTCTTGGGTGTTCATCTGCTTTTAGCTACAGATGGCCACTTCCACTAGAAATGGGCTTTGTGGTTTTGCCAGGTTCCCTCCCATACCCTGGAGGCTGTGGCAAGTGGTTTGGCTGGCTGGGGGGTCAGAGCTGGGAATATGTCAGAGGCTTTGTTTTGGCTCAGCTTTTGGGTCTCCCAATCCTCTTAAGACCCCTTCCATCCCTGACCTCTTGGGGTTTTGGCCTCATTTCCTCCCACATCCAGACATTTGGCAGTCAGCAGGACTCCCTGTTCGCAGCATCTCAGTGGCTTCTGAGGAGGTGGTGACTTTCGGGCTAATCTAGACTGGGCAAACAGGACAGGGATGGCTTGCATGAGTAAAACCCGTAGCTTACAGTGCTAGCCAGGACCCTGTCCTCATCCCTGCCTACTTTTATCTCCCATTCTTTGTCTCTCACTATTGGCTGAGCATTCACATGTCCCAGTACTAAGTACAAAATTGGAAAATAAAAGTTACTATTCAAGCCTTACAAAGCCAATAGACGTAAGAGATGTGACTTAATTACTTCAGTCGTAGGTGAGGAAACCAGCATTGCCCGTGTTTCCATGCAGTTAATATGTTTGAGCTCCACGGTGTTTGGGGCACATGAACTTTGCACACACCACAGACAGAACCTCTCACCTCATGTGTGCTTGGATGTATTAGGCTTTCTTTTTGGCTTATCGAACCTGGGGGCTTGGAATGAAGAGTCAACATGGCAGCCTTATTGTTAAGGTTAGTGCTTCCAGGATCTGTGGTGATGTGTTAGGGTCCTGTGTTCTGAAATGGATAAGGAGGAAAGAACTTGGTTTTGAGATGCAGAGAAAGCTAGGTAAAATACTGTGCCCAGGCTGTCCGTGTGAATTTGAAACTACTTCCAGTTCATCAGGCGCGAGAGTCTCCTGACTGTGGTGGTGCACACCTTTAATCCCAGCATTTGAGAGACACAGACAGGTGAATTGCTTGAGTTGAGACCAGCCTAGTCTGTATCGTAAGTTCCAGGAAGCCAGGGCTACATAGTAAGACTTTATCTGAAAAAGTTTGGGTTCTAGAACGGGAATAATGTGGTTTAGTCGAAGAGCATTTGCCATTGACTCTCGCTCCAACACTGCCAAAAAAGAACAGAAAAGGTCACCTTGTAAGCACTTATCTGCATATAGTGATGTGTGCCTGTAATCTCACAATTGAGAAGTGGATGCTAGCCTCGACTGTGTAGCTAGGTTGAGGCTAGAGTGGGCAATATCAGACCCTATCTTTAAAAAAAAAAAATAAAGTTCGGGCCTTTATAGACTTTGCTGCCTAACTAGCTGAGAGCAACAAGTAGCCGAGTTTCTTTCTTACTTGGATCTTGGGCTTTGCCGTTAACTGGGAGAGTCCCTGGCCTTCGTTTCTTCTGTACAGCAGAGGGTTTGCCTTCCAAAGTTAGTTGTTCTCAAACTAAATCTAGAAACAGACCAGATTGTCTTTTTAGGTTTTCTTCCTTTTTTTTTAATTTCTAAGACTGGGTTCTGCTTTGTAGAGTTAGCCAACAACTTGTACGGTTTGTCTGGGGTGTTCATCCTAGCATCCCATGAGCTGTTGGCAGGGCGGTTCCCATGTGCTTGCTCTTAGATGTCCTGTAACTGACGGCTACTGTGTGTGTGATGCGGGACTGGGTTGGCCTGGACAGCAGTGTTTGAACTTGCTCCTGGCGGTGCACAGGGCTCTTGCTTGCGTGTCCACACCCTTTCTGGACAGTGCCTACTCACTCTTCCTCACACCACGTTTGTTGCAGAGTTTCTTAGAGCAGCCAGAAGACTTACTTGTACCTCAGATCCTGTAGATAGGCTCCTTCCTGCATGCCCATGAGCCCCTGAAGGGTGTGCCCACCCCCACCCCTTTGTGTGGATGTGTGCCTATTCCTGGAGACCAAATT